TCTGCCCCAGCAAACGCTTCTATTGCTACAGGTGATCAGGGGGGGCGACAACGCGAAGTATCCTCATCGCCTATTGGTAGAGTTCTCTTGTTCATCAACGTCCAAGCTAGGTGAAAAGCGCAAGCCTTCAACAAACTGCAAGGTAATCCGCGTCACAGAAAATGAGGATGGAACATCAGAAAGCTGCCGCAAATGGCTAGCCCAGGAGATTGCAAAGTTCAAACAACAACACCCGCACGGAATGGTGTTCTTTTACAGTTCACTCCCTTGCACCGGCGGCAGTCCCTGGACAAACGTGAACAAAGATTTACCAAACGGAAACGAGCGAATTGCTGAGCAACAAAGACTCTTCCGCCAGTTGTTCAAAGGGTTCAAACGTTGCATTGCGGACGCGGAGGAGCATCAACCAAGCATAACCTTCGAACTATCAAAGAACTGCAGCCAAGAGGTAAGTCTTTGAAGCTTGCTGAGGGCTATACTTATGAGCTCACTGATCGTGAAGCATTTCGTTCATTCGACCAGGCCCAAGGAACGCCGGGCATTGATTTGCCTTCGTGGCGTCACTATGTCGCAGTCTGCAAGGCACTTCTCCGAGCGCCAGATCGGATTGCTGAAGGGCTGGGACACTTTGTTCCAGCGGCTGCTAACAAGCGCCATCTTCAGTGACTCGGGTCAGGATCCCGGCGCACAAGAAGTCGCCCTTGGCCTGGCGTGTGACCACACGGCTCAAGCAGTGGTCGATACATGGGAGGAAGCATACTCATGCGTCAAGAATGTGCTCCAGCCATTCATCGAGGCAAAACGCACTTCGCTCGCGTATTTTCCGCCGCTGTCAGCGCAATGACGAGCCCTGTTTACCCAGTGTTAGCAATGGTGAGCGGTGGAAAGAAGACAAGAGTTCGGCGTGATCTGGAAAAAGCATTCCACGACTGCATTGAGGAGCGGAACCAAGGGTTCTCATCAAGCGCGCAATTATCTGTGCCAGAGCCACCCGCCAGGCTGTGCCTGAAGCCCGCATCATCTATGTCAACGTGGTTTGGGCAGGCAGCAAGCTTGTGGGCGAGAAAGGCATTGTCCCCACAAATCGGTACCCTTATGCTATTACCACAAGATCGAGGCAGACATCAAGCGCCACCTCACGTGGTACACTACAAAGGGACGAGAAGCAGGATGCAGCGTCCTTGCCCTCACTTGCCTTCCGAACGCCAACTCTACGACCTCAACACCGTCTACACCTATTTTGGGTGGAAGGAGCAATACCCGGAGCATGATACAGTACGCGTGGACCTTGACCCATTGCTATGGCAGGTCGGGTTGAAAGATCAGTACCATACGACCTTTAACCAGTCAAGGGCACTGAGTTGGTTCAATGCAAACTTCTACATCCTCCGCCTGAGTAGCATCCTTGCTCCATACAAGGTGCGTTGAGGATTCAAATCGGAGGAACGGAAAGAGGGACTTGCGAGCGCTAGACGCAAGTCTAAGCCCGTTCAGTCCTGCAAATGAGGAGTACAGGCCAAACGTCATCGCTGTCATCCGAGAGGACCGAAGCCAACCGCAAGCGCCGGGAGCAACCGGATTTGGATGAGTACATGGAAGATGAACCTTCCTACTGCTGTGAGTGCTCCCCTTGGGGAGCCCGCTGATGAGGACGCACCACCTTGCCCATCGTCCGAACTGAGGTCAAAGAGGAGGATGAAGACGAAGAGGAAGAGCCTGCTCCCGAAGCAGCGGCCGAAAACGAGCCGCCTTCGCAGGCGGGGTCTGAGGAAGAGGCCCCTTCATAATCAAAGAGAGCGCCAAAAGAGTCCCATCCCGGACGAATCTCAAAACGAGTGGTCTACTATGCTCCGCGATTCCCAGTTCGAAGATGCCTACATTGTCAACCACCACCTGACAGGGCAAGCTGACTATAGGTATTGCGAGGTGGAGAACGCAGGGGCAACCTTGTGCCTGGCGTCGTGATTGGCACTGATTATGAGCGGATGGGACTTCAACCCACCACCAAAGCGGCGCCGCCTGCCTCAGTGGCTCAAGAGTCATTTGACGAGAGCCTCAGGCTTGTTGAGGGGAACCGTCTCCACTCAGGATTGGGGTAGCGACTACGACGAAGACAGATTCTTGGATCTGAACCAGTTCGTGAGCGCACTCTTCGCAGAATCCTCGGATGAAGGTCACCGACATCATGCGCATGGCAAAACTCGATAACAAAAATCGTTTCGAGTTGCTGGTGGCAGCAGGCACCCAGAAGGGGACCTCTATCAATCAGGCCTATTTACTGGCCATTCAAAATCCGGGCCGCCGCAGGTTTCTCGAACACGTTCATCAGAGATGAAGCTCTAACGCCGACGTTATTTACGTCTGGGCACAGGACGGTGGACGAGCTCTCGAGCTTTAGAGGCATGCACTGGAGTTCCAGTCGTTGAAGATCTCAGCCAAGTTTTCCCCGGGTGGCTTACCACAGGACATATCACGCCGCCATAAAGGGAATTCAAAAGGACGGTTTGATTGTTGGCGGCGGTGCACGGCGCGACAGCGGCAGGGCGCACGTGTACCTTGCCAGGCAGCAGATCAAGCACGGCGAGATTGTCCCCGGCAATCGACGACTCAACCCGATTGAGATCGTGATCACACTGCGCGAAGCAGTTGCCGACGGACTCGTGCGCTTCACTACGAAGTCAGGAGCAATCCTCAGCCCATACAATATCAGCAGTGCCTACATCGTGCGCATCCCCGACACTGAGATGGACAGCAGTCTGTGGTCAAGGTCCAATGCTTCAAGAGCAATTCCAAAGGCTCATCCCGCTACCCGCGAGGGTATATATGCCCGCAGCCGCTCCGGCTGAGAACATGAGGAGACTGCCGACGTTGAGATGACCTCGAACCAACAGAAGAGGGAGCGTCCCGAAAGTGCGGAGCCCAAGGCTAAGGAAGACGTCGAGGTGATTGATCCTACTCCTCCACAAGAGGCGCAGCGTGAGAACATTCCCACCGAAGAAGTGATGTGCCCAGGAAACAAATTGCCGGCAAGACGCTCCCCAAACGTCGCGAGCTACTGCAAAAGCTTGGCTACGACCATCTCAATGCACAGACCACTGAACGTCTACGTGGCCAAATCACGCAGTTCTGCGAGGAATCTGCCAGAGGCCAACGCAGCCCAGAAGGTGACTTCGTTGAGACATCGAGAAGGCAGCTGAAGAGAGCAATTGGGCTCGGCTATACATCACTGGCCGATCGAAATGAGCATGACATCAGTTTCATTGAGCGCATGACCGAGCATGGCATCACATTACAGGACATTTATGTGCGTGATGTACCATCACGCGGCCATCCTCCGCGGGTCAAGGCGCTGGTGGATTTTGGTGTTGGCCTCAAGACTGCCAATGACCTCGAGGTACATTGATGTCAGCGTCGCAGGCCTCGTAGGCAATGAACTTGGCGACCGGATAGACAACTGGACCGTCATCTGGGGTCGCGAGATGTATAGTTTGAGGGAGTTCATCAACCTGTGCGAAAAGCGCCGCTACCGAGGCAAGACTACAAAGCTGCTGACATTTGTTGGTATCGTTGAACCTACGAGCCGAAATGACCTCTACACAGCTACCACAAATTCACTTCGCGCCGCGCAAAAGCTCGTTGAGAACAAGAGGGTGCAGAGCGCAAAGGCTGCCGCAAGGAATGCGCCCAAAGGACGTGGAAAGGGCAAGGCTTCATCCGTGGCCGCTCCAAAGACGCCGCCGAAAGCCGCGCCTGTGCTGCAGGCTGCCCCATCCACAGAGCCGGAGCAAGCAAGAGTCATCGCCTGTGGCGAACATGAACCAGATTGGAGCATTCGACCTTCGCCAGATGCCTACTGCCAAGCTGCCACCCACGGTACCATCACCTTCATCGAATGCACCACCGAAAGCTCCACCGAAGGCACAGGCAAAGCCAGTGCGAGACGCCCATGAAGGAGGGCCGACCTATGGCTGGAAATATGGAGGCTAAATTCGAGCTGCAATCTAGCACGGGCTATTATTGTGTGACCTCCAAGGTGAGGATCACGCAGGCAGCAACGCTTAGCCCAGACATGTGCTGCTAATTCGTGCGTTTGCGAAAGCAGAGGGGGGTGTTGAAACACATCGCCCAAAGCTTCACCTTGTATGCGCGGTGCCAATTGTACTATACCTTTTGTATTATGGCGCAAGCATTGCAGCTCCAGGCGTAAAAGAGTGCACTATCAGTTGCTAGCTTAACGGATTTGACCTAGATTTACTGGCTGAGCCTGAAAATACATGGGTGAGGGCAAAATTCACAGAACATGGGATACATTGGGTATGAACGGGGTGACAGCTTGGAGCTGCTTGGCAAAGTGCGAAGAAGTTCGTTCTGAACGGAGCAAGGAGGTTGCACTAGGTTCAACCGTGTCAAATATTTTTCCACGTCAAGGTTCTAAAAATATCCACAACCCTACTTGCAGTGATGTTGCTTCCACTTTGTGGGACGGGCTGATCGTAGGAAGTGACTTGAAATATGTTCGGGGCTGTCAAGGAAAACGTACAAATTAAGAGGGCTTTGCAATGCTGCTCCCAACTCGCACGATTCACCAACTTGCTGTCATTCTTGGTGAGTCACCTGTAGCTAGCAAAGGGTGCCAAATGTGAAAGAACAAGTTCCGATTCAGAAACTGCGATTCAGCTTGGCGTGGGTGTTAACCCTCAGGCGTAAGGTGAGGAATCGGTGCATCCTTTATGGTTGGTTTCGAGTTCACAGGGGAGTTTCTGAATCTGGGTTTCTGAATCATAGCTTCTCAAAAATCGTTTCCGGTCTCTGGTTTCCGAATCATAGTGTTTGAATCAGGCTGTAGTTTCCGAAGATCAACTTGTAGTTTCAATTCGTCCGTGCATATCCAGTATGAAAGGACTACAGGAAAACTGATGTGGCTTTAGTACAGCAGTTGCATACTGTGCCCGACATCAAAGACCGTTCTGCTAATGTTGGGTTTCTTGTGACTTCCGAAGGTGCGCACAGTGGAAAAGCTCGTGGAGATACCGCAGGTGGGTGTTTTTTTGATCAAGCTTATATTATGTTTTCTTTGTCGCGTTTGCCCAGGTTGCCTTCGTGGACAAGTTTGTGGAAGTGCCACAGGCGTGACACAGACCAACCCGGCAGCCTTCCACGTTGTTCAGTTCTCTTTTGCTGCAGGTGCACGTGCAGGAAGTGCTGCGCCACGTGCCAAAGCTTGAAGTTCATGAGGCAAGTGACTTTTGACGACTTGATCACTCAAGATCGCCAAGCTTGGCAACAGATTGCAAGCACTTCCACTTTTTGTCAGAGGTGGTGAAGGAGGTCCCGAAAATCCAGATGGAGTACAGGGAGAGGACTTGAAGTGAAGCATTTGTGTCACAGTCCTTAGCAAGCATGGACTTGTCAATAAAGATTCGTGATTTGCTCTGTGACTCTTGAGATGATCCAAAGCCCACATTGTTGCTGTTGCACTCAATCAAGGTTCCAAACAGTGGTAGGCTGGGAAGCCATTGACAACCTGGCACCAGCGATTATTCTACCAGCAATATACCCAAGCCATCCCAAACCCAATCAAGTGACAAGCAATTATTTGATGGCATGATCAAGCTGCTCCGTTTTTGACCTTTGCACAGGATTGTTGAAGTTCCTCAGGTTCATTTGCAGGCCGGAGTGTGCCCCGGGGAATCTTTGGTTGCACGAGAGTTTCATCAGTGAATAGCACACAATGCGTCGCTTGACGGACAATGGAGACGACGGTTTGAGTGGCATTTGGATCCTTGGTCGAGCTTTGGTCGAACTTCTTGAAGCGTTCACGCCAGGAGCGCCTGGTGGAGGCGAGTCCGAGACAGAACGCGCGAAGAGCTAATGGAAACACGCACAGAGCTGACAGAGCATAACACGTACGACCCACATCAACTTGAAATTCTGCATTTATGTCTATCTACTGGGTCTGGAAGTGCTTTGGAGGTGCCAAAGATACAGGTCCAGGAAGTTGTCAGGACGGTGCCCAAGGTGGAAGTGTGTACTGTGGATCGCGTTGTGGAGGCCTGAAGATATTGCCCATCCAAGCAAGCTTCAAAGTGCTTCAATCTGCGACTATTTTGCGTTTGGATCAATTGGCAAAATCGTTGTCTACTGCAACTTTGCCTCAACTTGGTTTACAACCCACAAACAGGTTGAGAGTCCATTAGTGCTTTTGTGACAGGTCCCACAGGTCCAGTATGTGGAGAAGATAGTGGAGGTTTGCTACCATGGCTGCAAATAAGTTGGCAGATTTTGTTCGAAAACTCAATATCAAAAGGAGCACATTCGGCACAAAGGCCTCAAGTGGCTACAGTTTTGTGTTTGGGATTCTATCCTTTCTTTTTGTAGACTTCTCACACTATCCTTGCAGGTGCCGAAAGTTGAGATTCAGGTGCGAGACAGCTGCGGCACACTGGAGATTAAATTCCCGTGCAATTTTTACAGGTCTTTCTGGGCGCAGCTGCAGAACAAGAAAGTCTAGTGTTTTGTTTTTACCTGTGGCTGTTCAGGAGCGGCTGCATCACGTGCCCAAGTACTTCCCGCCTGCCTTATGTGCAAGCTTGGCCCGGAAGAAAATAAAGCCAATCAAAGGGCTACGTCAAGGGCTGGATTTTTTCGTTGCTTCTCTCATATATGGTAGGTCTATATAGATAGATTTGTGTCGAGCGAGCTTGCCAGAATCCACACGCAAGTTGTGGAGAAGCTTGTCGAAGTTCCGCAGGTGCTCAGGATTCCTGCAAATAGAACCTTGAACGCTTGAATTTTGGCTGACAGCAATGCTATGCTGCTTCACTTGACGTTCTTGAAACCAAAAGCTCAGCAACTGTCTTCATGCAGACACAAATGAGCAAAGGTACGTATATACTGCCACAGATATCATTTGTGCATATGTACTTGTGTCTTTAAGAGATTGCTTCAGTTTGGCACAGTGCAAAACTGCGTTGAATTGCGGTTGCAGGTCAAGTTTGTGGATAAGTTTGTGGAGGCCGCTTGCCCTTCAATCTTTGGGGCCACTGCAGACAAAGTAAACAAAGCATGTCCCCCAGCATATGGTGCCAAGAGCGTTATTTTTTGCGCTGCGCTACAGGTGCCACAAGTGCAAGTTCAAGAGGTGGTCAGGCAGCAAGGGTTCTGGGATGCAAGAATAGATTGCACTCAAGAAAACGACTGACACCGCTTGTGTACATTTCTGGTAGTGGCGGGGTACAAAGAAAGTCAACAGTTGCTGATGCTGAGTTTGAATTCCACTCCAGACATCAGTTTGACAGTTTGCCATAGCTCCTTTGCAGGCATGTTCCGAAAATCGAGACCCAGGACAGAGGGCAAATTCAACTGGTGCAATTTGTTGAACAGATTGCAACACCATGGATTTATGAAGAGTGAGCCAGGAAGACTTCATTTTAAGCACTTCCGAATCAGAGTTGCACGCCAGACCATAGTGAGAATCATATTGAAAGGACCTGTCCATGTAGCGATTTCACAGGAGATCGTTCGGACAGTGCCCAAGATTGAAATCAGAACTGTTCGCTCCTTATTGTTCAAACATGGTGTCTATTTTTTCCCTGTCGTTGACAAAAGCCTTCCGGGCCTGCCAATCAAAAAGCACCTCCAATTTCAACCTTCGGAATCTCAGAAATTACATATCAAGTCAACTCAGGGGAGAAAGATATCTCGTCCCTGTCCATGCTTTCAGATCCACATGTGTGAACAATTAGGTAGAGAAGATTGTAGAGGCTGGGCGTTTTGAAGTTTGCAATCACTCTCAAAGGCTTAAACCTGAACCTTGGTTGAAGATCTCGCAGGTGCCTCAGGTCCAATACTTGGAAAAGATTGTCGAAGTTCCAGAAGTTCGCATTCAAGAGGCAGATGTGAAAGGGAAGTGGATGAGCAGAGCGGACAGTGGTCTAAAGCCTTTCCCATAATTTCACGGCTGGCAGCTCTGATGAACGACCAATTACACAATGCAATTGATGGAGAGTTCTTGCCGATTGCTGACAGGTTGTGAGACACGTTCCCAAGATAGAGGTGCAGGAAGTCGTGAAGCATGTGCCAAAAATTGAGGCTGGAACACCTAGCACCGATTTGGTTGTGTGAGGAAAGATGGGATTGGCAGAATAAGGGTGTGTCCGTGGCCTTCAACTAATTGTACACACTTCGAACTTGGGTTTTCAGTTAGACTCAATTGCCACGATGGGAAGGACGGTGATGGAACAGCAAGGCGAAAGGGTCCGGTGATTTGTATTGTTTAACAAGTGTTTCACTCGCGCGGCTGAAGTGCAATACACAAGTTGCTGAAAAGTGCGGTGGGAAACCTGTTTAGGGGAAGGAAGACATGAAACACTATGAAACAAACCAAACGAGTAGCAACAGTTTGCCTGGCAGGTACACGGTCAGACGTCTCTGACCGCATCCCATGACATCACTAGCTTCGTTGGCCAGCGTCGTGATGTCATGCGCTGGCCCCCTGCCTGTGAAATTCCCTGTCATGGTGGAAAAGGTGGTGAAGGTGTGGAAAACCCTTAGAACCAGGGTGCGACACACACAACAAGCCGTGATCGGCGCACAGACTGAGCGGTGGAAAACGGATCTTTTTCTTTCAAAAACCGCCTGCACGCATGCAGGTCATGCCCTTTTTGGGCGTATAGGTTGACCAGGGCTTCAGCCGCAGCGGTGGCGTTGTTGGGTGGAAACGTGTAGGTATAGATGGAGTGAAGTCTTGAAGCTAAGCCGGACAGAGCCAAGCGCTGGCTACCGGCGCTGGTGTGGTCCCTGATTTTCCAGGGTTGGGTGGGTTGTATGTATGTGATGGTGCGTTGCTGGAGGTCAATGTTGAAACCCAAAAAGTGAAAGTCCTCCACCGTCTCCAATTCGACAGGATCGCCGAAAAAGTTGTTGTGGATGAGGGTCTGGATGGCGGGATGTGAAAGGAATTGTTCATTGTGGACAATGAAAAGGTTGTCCACGTAGCGATAGTACGCGAAGTGGAGGGCAGTGTGTTGAAGGAGATTGTTGTGAAGTTGATGCCAGGAGTGTTCAATGAGGGTGATGGCAACGTTGCAAAGGGCAGGGGAGAGCTGGGAACCAATCCCAGCTCCCCGAATTTGCTTGTAGGTGTTGTTGCATGCCCGGAAAATGCAAGTGTCAAGTGCATATGCCACAATGGTTGTAATGTCTGCAGTGTGGATGGTGGCGTCGGTGGTGCCTGCCGATGTGGGAGTGGTGGAAAGGGTTGCCGGTGGCTTTGGTGTCAACGGTAAGAGTGTGGGTGTAGTTCTGGCGTTGCCATTGCTGAATGAGGGAGTGGACTGCGTCAATTAGACGATGCTGTGGAACTGAGTTAAAGAAGCCAACAAGGTCATCGTTGGTGGCATGTAGGGGAATGTCAGGTGGGGTGTCGGTGAGGTAGCAGTGAAAGTGGGACCACAGTTGTGGAATGGAAAGTTGGCCTGGATGCTGAGGAAGGAGGTGTTGCAGGATGATGTCAAGGGCTCGGCTGGTAATGCGGAGGAGATTGCCGCTCAAGGACTGAAAGTATGAGATAATGGCGCGGCCCTTTCTCCATTGTTTTTTCTCCTTGAGGTGAACAACGCCGTAGCTGGGGCGGCCGGTGTCTTTCTTGGGGGTAAGTTCCAGTCCATGTGCCTGGAGTTTCTCCCGGGCGCGGGCAAGATCATCGGAGGTGACTTTGAGCGCTCGGATGGCTGAGCCTTGGGCAACGGCTGGAGAGTGAGCCTGCATTTGGTCGGTTAGAAGTGTGATGAGGGGAGAGTGGAATGCTCGTGCTTGTGTGGTTTTGTTGGGGATGGTGGAACCGGCCTTGGTGTGCATGGCCTCGGCGATAGCGTCTAAGTCCAGCCGCTTATCGCGAATCTCCTGAAGGAGGTAAAAACTGACTCGGCGACACTCCTGGTAGGAATGAGCCCGCAAAACTTGCCGTGACTGAGCGTCCTGGCTGTAAAGTCCGCCGTCCCATGGTACGCAAGTAACCAAGGGAACACCTCAAAAGTCGGCAAGCCTGCGATCCCGACGCGTCGGATGGTTGGAGTTGGAGATGGAACTGTAGGAGGAGGTGCCGGTGGAGCCGAGTGAGTGGGACTGTGCTTGAAGGACTTCTGTTCTGGTGTTGCTGGTGAGGCCGTAGGGAGTGGTGGCGGTGGCGGCGGTGGGAAGGAAGGAGAGGTGTTTGGCGGCGGTGTGTGAGATGGTGGTGATGTCGAAGGCGGTGGCGTGTAGGGGTGAGCCTGATGCTGTTGGTGCACGCGAATGGAATGGCCCATGGGGCCATAGGTGGTTGTCGGCGTGTATTGGGCGGCGTCTGTGCCCGAGGCAAGCTGATGCTGTTGCTGCTGGAGTAGGTAGTGGTTCCAGTAATACTGTTGATGGATACAGGTGGAGGACGAAGATGATGGCGGGAAGCGGTCAGTTTGAGCAAGAAAGCTGAAATGAAAGAGCCGAAGCAACCTGCAATGCACATGGAGATCAAAAGACTGCACATTGAATAAAACTCAAAATGTGGGACCTGCGGGACTTAATTGATGACTTAGTCAATCTAATAGGTAAAGTGGAAGTAGCCGCAAGTAGCAACAATCCATGAAGGTATCACGATCACATTGAGAAGATGCTATGTCCTGGAGGGCAACCGCGTATTTTTCGTGGTGCGAGTGAAACAGCTGGTGTTGGTGGAGGAGCAGTAAGGCCACAAGTAGAGAAGACAAGCGATATTCGAAAATGGTAGTCATCAAAACCGTGTGTGTGGCCTAAATGGACTCTCACTATGGCTGCTCGTCGGCGCCGTAGTTATTCCACGGATCATTCGCTGGGTCATAATTTTCAGCATGGAGCGGTACGTGACCTCGTTGCTGCTGGGGATTGGGGTTGTTGTAAATGAGCTGTTGTCCAGGGCTGACCTGTGGTGTTTGCTGGGGAAAGTGGAGGGTCGGCGGTGCCGGTTTTGGTACTGGATACTGTGCCGGCCAAGCATGGGCTGTGGGTGGAATGGATGCTGGAGGTGTGGGAGGAACGTATGGAAGTTGGACTGGGGGTGGTGGTGTGGTGTAGTATGAGCCGGGTGGCGGAGCAGTGGTGGAAATAAGGCAGGTGGAGCGGGTTGTGGCGGTGGTAGAATGCTGTGTGGTGGGAAAGCTGGAGGAGGTGCTGGACATGGTGGTGCTGCCGGAATGGAGGAGGAGCGGTCCCCATTGGAGTCCAAATACTGGAGGATGTTGTGCGAAAAGTGGAAGGGCATGTGGCCATTGCAATGTGGTCTCGGGATCCGAACTTGGGTGTGACGGTGTGTGGGCATAGGAGGTGGATGGGTCGTGACGGGCTGTGGATGGAGGAGAGAGGGAGCGAGAGCTGGTGGTGGAACGGTGGTAGTGGAGGGAGGATCCAGGGGTGGCTGACCCGTGCTTTCTTGAGGATAGGAACATTGGTCATCAGGAGGACCGGGTCTTCACTGCTGGTGGTGGGAGAAGGGGATGGAGGCGGGGTTTGCTGGTTGCTCGCGTGGAGGAGCGTGCCGTGCATGCTCGGTGTGTGGTGGAATGTTTGGGAAGAGAGGGTGCAGGGACAGGGGGTGTTTTGGGAGGTGGAGGAAAGGCCTGAGTGGTGATGATGTAGCTGGTTGAACATCAGCTGAGGATTGGTGATGATGGGCCTGTTCATTGGGTTCGTCTTTAACGGTCTCCAATTTGACTTCCGGCAAATCTGATTGTTCGGATTTGGCTGTAGGTAGGGTGTATGGATCGCTCTGGAGTTCCTCAAGCACTGAAGGACTAGGATCCCAGTCTGGGGAGTCGAGGTCAATGGGCATGGCGTGGATGCGGAACAGAAAGGAAGGCCGTGGGCGCGCAAAAACGGCTGCGGAGAAAGCATCAAGTATGACAGGTTAAAAGTTCAGTGAAAAAAGCGTGGAGAGCTGGCACCGGTGGTTGCAGGGCTCACCTTTTTGGTGGAGCTGTAAAAAGTTCAAAGCGAAGGTGAAACCTTGGGCTAACGGGAGGAGCCGGTGTAATCCGGGCCGGAGCGTAGCGGCCATGTGCCTGAAAGAGTCGGTGATGGACTCGACGATGGTGCTGAAGTGGCTGTCCATAGAGAATGGTGCAATGAGCTGCGATGGCTGTGAGAGATAGTAATATCTGAAAGAGGAATACGGTCATGTGTAGTGGTGTTGACCGGGGTTGATTGGATGGACGTAGTGGTGGTTGTGGGAGGCCTACGTGAGCGGGCGCGTGGGGTCAGGTGGGTGATCAGGCTGTGCTGGGGTGGGATGGCCGTGGGTTGATGGTAGGTGGTAGGATTGGTGAAGAGAGAAAGTTTGTTGTGGCGGATGGAGGGAAACGGGCGGCAGGGTCCATCCGGTAGTGACCTGGCGAGCAAGGTGAGCCGGGGCAGAAATTGAAGAATGCGGATGCCTTGGCGTAAGTCGGTGCTGATGGTAACCAGGTGGCGTAAAGTGTTGCGGAGCTGCAGGTAGAGGCGGTCGGACTGTTGGTCTGTGAAAGAAGAAGGGTAGGGGATAGGATCAGTTAGGATGGGATGGTGCTGGAGATCGGTGACCAGGGTGTGTAGTGTGGCAATCGTCCAGGATAGCAGCAACAGTTCGGGCTGGTGAGTGGCTGATGGAGCAAGATAGGGAAGTGGATTCCCTGGGAGATAGTGACCCGCTGCAGGGGCCAACGATGGATCTGGAAAAGGGGCTGAGTGTGATCCCTCCACTGTCATAGGGCCGGCCGCTGGTGGAGGAGAGCCAAAACCGGAATCAGCCATAGCTACAAAGGCGGGCAACGGGTGCTGTCAGCGTGCGATCTCAACAAAACGGCTGCGGAAGCTGACGTGTGATAAAAGTGACATTCAGCAAAACTTGAAGATGGTGTGAATGAGCAGTGCAGGTTTCGAAAATGCCTGAAGGGCCAAAAAGCACGGTGCTCGATCTTTAGCGCAGCCGTTGTCCAGTTGTCAATGTGAAGAGTATATACAAAGCGGCTCACTCCGGTGGATGTTGAAGTGGTGGCTAGAATGCTGGGCTGTCCCTGGACCGTGAGCGGTCTCTGGCTGCGGGG